CTGAGGGTCCCACATGGCAGGGGAGGAGCAAAGGAGCTGTGGGAAAACACATCCACATTTATTCATCTGCTCATCATTCAAGAAATGCTTCTTGAGAGTCTGTTATGTTTCTGGGGCTGGTCTCTCGGGATGCCTGTTCTGGGGGGACAGGCAGGCCTCAGGTAGGACTCTGCCAGCTCAGCCCTCCTTCCAAGTCCTGATGCGCCCCCCCTCCCTCCCTTCCACTCAGACACACAGAGGATCAGAGCAGGAGTAGCCCTCAGAGCAGCCCATCTGGGGATTCTCAACATTACTCTACAAGTGGGGATTCCTTTAGCCCCATGGAGTCCTAGCAGTGGCCTGGAAGGGACCACCCACTCAGTTGGCCCTCACTTAGACCCCTCTGTCCACCTTTTCCATGAGACTCCAAGGGCACTGGGGACACCTCTGAACCCCCTTGAAGCATCCCAACTCCTGCACACCTCCTGTGGGTCGGGAGTCCCACACAGGGTTCCCTGAAACTCTTAGGTGTCATAAAAGAGCCCTGTCACCTTCTGTAAACTCCACTGACCCTGAAGCTGCATGGCAAGTGAGCTGGGCCCTCCTGCTGGCCTTGCCCTTCTCGGCAGCCCTTGGTCAGTCCTCCCTCTCCCACACTTACAGTCAGGCCTTCTGTTTCCAGCAAATGTAGACGGCAGAGACACCAACCACCAGTAGCACCTTGGGGCCCAGGAGGAGAGCTACGAGGAGTGGAGCAGTAGGAGCCAGCGCCAGGCCTGGAAATCAGGGAAGAGGAGTAGCCATGAGAGGAGCTACCTGGGAGCTCATCTCAAGGGCCTCCACTTACCCCATCTGAGGCTACCTGGGCCCATCAGTGCTCTGAGGCTTTTGAACTTGCATCCGGCTCTGGCTTCCCTGACTCCAGCCGAAAGCAAAGGCCAGGGAAAGTGGCTCCTCATTCTCACTCACCCTGTCCCAGGCTGTCAGCTTATCCTCCTGGAGGGAAAAGGTGGAGAGAGTGTGTACTCAGGTGTTCATACATATGGCAACTGGGTTCCTCACTTGATCCTCACAAGCCTGTGGGGCAGGGATTATTATTCCATTCTGATGGGAAACTGAGGCCAGAGAGTTTAGGGAGTGCCCGGAGATTAGTGGGATCCAAATCTAGGGGAGCCCATCATTATGTCCCCCAGGGTGACTCCTGAGTCCAAGACAAGTCCAACACCCCAGGGTCATAAGAATGATTAGGAAAGGGTGGGCAGGTGGTGTGAGGATGGATTCAGAGTGAGAGAGCTGCGTGCTGCCCTTCTTAGCCCCAGGGGTATTTGGATGACCCCATATTCTCATGATCTCAGGGAACCCTCCAGGGACAAGAACTAGTGAAACCTGTTGGCTGGAAAAGACCCTGGTGAGTCAGGGAAAGGGCCTCATGCTTGGGAGGGCCTCAGACATCATCTATCCCACCTCAACCCTAGAGCAGATGTCATCTGAAATTTCTCTGTTGGACACAGAGAGTCAGATCTAAGGAAGCACATGTTTGGACTCTGCATTTTTTAAACAAGGGGTTTTGGCTGTTAAAAGTAACAAAGGTATTATTTTTTTCTCTTTTTTTAAAATTAAATGGTGCTGGTGGGTCCTTAAGGAAGGAAGGGAGACCTCAGCATCTGTGGCCGCTGGGGTGTTGCAGGCCGGCAGTTCTCAGCTGGGTGGTTCTCTGGGGCTTTCTCTCCCTTGAAGACAGCTGCACTGCCCAAATTTACTCCTTCTAGAGGGGAGCCCATGTGAGAGATAGACTGCACTGGGAATATGAAGGGCTATCCCCTCCCCTCAATTTAAAACAACTCTACAGGACCCTCCAGCCTTTGGCCTCTCTGCAGGAGCAGCTCCGTGTTTGTCCTGCCTGCACTGTGGCTCAGCACCTCCCTCCTCCTACACTCCTGCCTCCTCATTCCCTGAGGCATGTTGACCCTGACAGCACTCTAGGATGCTTCCTGCATTCCTTTATCCATTCCCAGTTGGCCTCCCAGAGAAACTGACCTTGGGAAGTGGTCTGGAAAGCAGACTCTAAAATATAAGTTTGGAATCTGATTACTCATCAGCTGGCAAGGAGGATCCCAGGGCTGGTGGTAAGTGGGGCTGGACAAGCCCTAACTTGCTTTTGTGTTGCAACTGATAACACTTTCACTGGCAGTAAACTGGGATGGTGTAAACCCAGGAAGGAAATTCCTTGCCCTCAGCCTTTTGAAAACAGATTGGGAAATGGTAGTTATAAGAACTAAGGTGTCAGCTGTTGCTGGGCATGAATCCTTGGAAGAAAGACAATGAGAAACTAAGAGTGATTGATCATGAGTTAAGCTTCAGTGCTGAAGCCAGAGGACTTCTTGGCAGCACTGTAGATTCTTATTTTTTGGAGCCACAGGGCAGAAGGAATAGAGGATTCCGTCCTGGGCATCATAGAAGAGTAGCAGAATCATAGTGGAGGATGAATCTCAGTTTCAATGGCTGCTATGCTGGGGTAGGGCCCTGATGGGGAAGTTGTGGGACCCTGAGATGTGGGAGGAGACATTTGGGTCAAAGCACTCAAAGATTGTCAGTTAACTTAGGAGTTGCTGGGGACAATTGCAGTAGCATAGCTACTTGTCTCTATAAATATCCTCCCCAAGCCAAAAGAAGAAACAACAAAGGAAAAGTAAATTCTACACAATCCAGGCTGTAAATATTACTTGAAGAGAGAAGGCCAAACTGCAAAATGACTGTGAGTCAAAAGGGAACACTCATCCAACCCTAGTGTACAGTCTCTCACTAGGCTCCCACGCCACTGACGCAGCACGTCACAGAAGGCATCAGGCAGTTTGCCTGCCAGCCTAGACAACCTAAAATGCATTTCCAGACTCACTATATGAGCCAGGATGCTATGTCAGACACACTGAAAGCACCCAAAAATGGCAGCCCTGGTCTGAGCGCCAGTGGGTGGTTGGAAGTCTAAGGAAAAACGCAACCTTGTCCAGATGGTACAGAATCATCTCATCCTGTGCTACCTTGACAAGTACAACTATGAACCCAAGAAATATCATGAGGAGCAGGCATAGGAGAACTTCCAAGGTTGAAGAGCAAGGTTAAGAACCTGAGGACTGAGGAACAGCCCAGCAGCCAGACACCAGGGAGCCAACCCCCAAATACCAGCCCCCAGCCATGGAAAGTAATGAAGGGAGGACACAGAAAAGAGGAAGTCTCAAGTCAATAAACATAAACTTCCACTTTAAGAAACTACAAAAAGTAGGGCAAAGTAAACTTAAAGCAAACAGGAGTGATAGGAATTAATAAAAAAAAAAAAAAAGAGAGAGCAGAACAGATAATCAATGAAACTGAAAACACAAAAACAATACAAAAACCCACTGAAACAGAGTCGATCTTTCAAAAACACCAATAAAATGGGAAAAACCTCTAGCATGACTGAAGAAAAAGAAAACAGAAATGGCACATTTTCAGTATCAGGATGAAACGTGGGATACCATTGTAGACCCTGTAGATACCATTGAGTTATAAGAGGATATTGTGAACAACTCTACACACATAAATGTGACAACTTAGATAAAATGGACCAAAAATTATACAAAACACAACTCACCAGGACTCACTCAATAGGAAATGAAAAGTGTGAATAACCCAAAACTATTAAGGAAATTGAATCTATGATTTTAAAATACCCAAAAATATTCCTGAGGCCCAGATCTTTCATAGGAAAACATAAGCATTTAAAGATAAATTAAAACAAAATTTGATACACAGGGAAATGGAGCTGAAAAGTTTTGGTAAAATTTGAATGTATACTCCATTTTAGATGATATGAGGAAAGTATTTTAATAATTTAATGAAATTTAGTTATTTGAATGTTTAAAATGTCAGTGGACAATGACATTGGTTTTGTGAAAAATATCCTTGATCACATGATCACTCAAGGTGCAACTGCAGGTGCATGCGTGAGCAAGTTTTCAGCGGACGTGACTATGCACCTTCCACACATCTGTGATGATTGGGGACATTTTTTCTTCTCTATGTCCTGTCTTTACTCTTCCAGCAGGCAGGGACATGAACAAATCAGTGACTCAGCACTGACCAGGAGATGATGCAAACATCATACTGTTTTGGAAGGAACTTGAGTCCTTATTCTTATTTTCTGGCACCTCAGGGCAGAAAGAATAGAAGGTTGGGCCCCGGCCATCATTGGAAGAGTAGCAGAATCACAAGGGAAGATGAATCTCAGCTTCAATGGCTTCTATGCTTACATAGGGCCCTGTTGGGGAAGCTGTGGGACCCTGAGATGTGGGAGGAGACATTTGGGTCAAAGCACTCAAAGATTGTCATTCCACTAGAGGAGAGAGTCCCCCTCCTGGTATTATATGAGAGGGAAATAAGACATTTTTTGATTATAGAGAGGGTAACCACTGGCCAAATTCAGGTCCTTGGGACAAAGCCCAGCAGAAGGCGAGAGTTTCTCTAATTAGCACAAATTCCCAATATAGCCTGGTAGTGAGCCTGTCCTCAGGGACCAGATTTACCATCATTAGTTTGGACCAATAACCTGATGTAATGGCCAGAATCTTCAACATCATCCCTCATCACTTCCTGAGTCCTGGTTTCCCCTTTAGTAAAACTCCAAAGTCACTGGGTGTTTGAAGCAGGAAAGGAGATCAGAGATGAACAGGAATTTGCACATGGTCCATGCGCAGAGTGACTGGGATTATTGTTGGTCAAATATCACCATCGGAACACAGAAGAGGCCTGTGCTGTGACCAGGTCACCTGGGGGCCTGCTCCAGGTTTCAACTTCACTTGTCTTTCTGAAATTTATACAGCAGATGCCGGAGACTGCTGGGTGAGGTCACAGATGCGGATGGAAAAGTTTAGGATAAAACAGAGACAAGGTAGAGGTTAGAAAGTGTAAAGGGGAAGGTGGGGCACTGATGAGACATGCAGAAGAAGGCGAGACACAGGACTTCATAAACAAATGCATCACGTCCCTCTCTCCTTTTTCCTTTAATGTATATCTACGCCAAAAGATTGATCAAGGTGTGCATCAAACGCTTGATGCACAGTTTCTCTTGTAGGTGGGTTTTAAGGGTGTCTGCAAGTTGCCAATTGTCACCTTGAACCTTCTAAGTAGTAGTGACCCGTGGAGTGTAGGATTTGGGGTCATGGAGCTGACATTAAAATTTTACTTTATATTTATAGACTTCTAGCTTATTTTATGATAAGCATGAATACTACTTTTAACATTAAAGAAAAAGACAAAATTTAAAAATGGGAAGTAACCACACCATGGGTGACGTCTGAGTCCTGCTCCTTCTGGTGCGCTGAGATCACCAGGGTATGGCTTTTGCTGACCGCTGGCTGCCCATCATGCTCCACCTGGCAGGTGAGCACCACACCATCCCTGTGGGCACAGGTGTTCACCAGGAGCCAGCTCATCCAGTTGTAGGTACCATCCTTGTTTTCTGTGAGGGTCGAAGCCCTTTCTGTCTGGGACACATTTCCATTCTCCAACCAGGTCAGCAGGAGTCTCTGGGGGTAGAAGTTGCTCACCTGGCAGGTGATGTTCGCATGGTTGTCTGCCCTCATGAACTGTTGAGTAACCTCCAAGAAGGGTGGAACTGAAACAGCACAGGGAAGAAGCTGTGACCTTGTGGCACAGACAGATCACAGGGAGGGCTCCATAATGTAGCTCCCACCACCACAGTGAGGGGGTCACCAGGACAGTGCTAGGCAGGCAGCATGTGCTCAGACATTGAGGGTGTTGTTTGCATATGAGTGAAATTACTAAGCACAGTGCCTGGCACACAGTAGGTGCTGAAGGACTGGTAGCTCCTACTAGGCTAAGAATGAGTGATATCTACAAGCACCACCCCTGGCATACAGTTGGAATGTAAGAACTGTAGCAAAATCAGTGAAATCGCCAAGCACATAGGGATTTGGCTCCTAGTAGGTGCTCACTAATTGTAGTTGCTCTTGGTGAAATAAATGAAACTCTCTAGCACAGAGCTTGGCACATGGTTGCTGGCTCCCTCACAGCTGCCATTAAAATGATAGTAAGTGACCGGCACACCTAGGTGCATGGCAGGTGGCAGCATCGTCAGGGATTAGATTCCAGGCCATTCAAGATCTAGAGCAGTAGCCTGTGGAGAGGGGAGTGGACTTAGCAGCCAGAAGTGGGCTTAGGCTGGGTTTGAGGGTCTTCTACCTCGGATGGCCTCAGACAAGTTGGCAGTCCCACGAAGAGGGTCCCCCTGCAAGGTGACGTGGGCCACCTCGCAGATGACTTGAGAGTGAACGTCTCTGCGGGTCAGCACCACCCTGGCTGTGCTGCGGATGCTGTAGGACACACTCTTTCCTGCGGGGTCCACGCTGGTCTGGAAGTCTGAGAGCTCGTTCCCATTTTTGAACCATTTCAGGGTGATGTCTCTGGGAGAGAAGCCGTGGGACTCGCAGGTGAAGCTCACTGTGTGCTCAGCTGTGGCCCTCACTGCGGGGCCCGATACCACAGGGGCAGAGGGTTTGGCTGCAAAAGGAGCATCGATAAACAGGAGACATATCTGAGATGACCATCACTAACGATAAGCGTGTGACACGTTAAGAACCTTCTGAGACGTTCGTTTTTAATCTCTCTAATAATGTCGGGAGGGCAGTCTCCTTTTCTCATTTTACAGCTCAGGCCACAACAGCTCTGAGAGGTGAGAACCAGCCCATGGTCAGACAGTGAGTAGGGGCAGGTCCCAGAGGGAAGTCCAGGCCTGAGTTCAAAGTCCTCTCCACACAGGGTGACTTCCACCAATCTTGGCATAGGAACAAAATTACTGACTGGTCTCCCTCCTTGTTAATAACTAGTCCTAGCCAGCCTCCCCCGGAGAGCTCACCAACCTCAGAGAGGGCATTTATAGAAGCCAATGTCAGGAACAGTGGCAAAGTGGCACCACCATGAGAGCTGCAGCCAGGCTGCTTAGCCCAGGAGAGGGGTGGCCTGGCACACCCAGTTCCTCATCTGCAAAATAGGAGGACAGCATTTCTACTTCCTGGGATGTC